AGGAGGCAGTGCAGCTGGTTTGAGAGGTGCAAGAAGCAAGTGGTAAGACTTGCAGTGGGACTGGTGTGTGATACCCAGCTCACAACTAGCTTGGTCCTTCCTCAGCCTGGAAGTAACACCCCTCCAGCCCACCCCCTGCCTCATCTTCTCATGGTTGCCTCATCCCCAGCTCTCCGTTCAAATATTACAGGCTCAGAGAGCCTTCTCTGGCCACTCCCCCCAGTCACTACCACATCCCTGTTTTGTGGATGTCATGGATTGAATTGTGTCCCCCAAAAATATCTGTCAACTTGGCTAGGTCCTGATTCCCAGTATATGATTGTGAACCATTTTGTAATCTGATGTGATTTCCTTATGTGTTGTAAACTCTACCACTATGATGAGGTTATATGTGATCTCCTTATGTGTTGTAAATTCTATCACTGTGATGAGGTTATACTGACGAGGTTTACAAGATTAAACAGCGTCTTAATCCAATCTCTTTTGAGATATAAAAGAGAGAAGCGAGCAGAGACACATGGGAACCTCACACCACCAAGAAGGTAGTGCCGGGAGCAGAGCATGTCCTTTGGACCAGAAGTTCCTGTGCTGAGATGCTCCCAGACCACGGGAAGACTGATGCATCACAAGAACCTTCCTCCAGAGCCGACAGAGAGAGAAAGCCTTCTCCTGGAGCTGACACCCTCAATTTGGACTTGTAGCCTATAGGACCATGAGAGAATAAACTTCTCTTTGTTAAAACCATCCACTCGTGGTATTTCTGTTAGAGTAGCACTAGATGACCAAGACAGTGGACTTCAGAAAACTTACGACTATCAGCAGTTACACAGTGGATTGACTGTTTAGAGCTGAATGCCTGCCTCACCACAAGCTAAGTTCCATTAGAGAGGAACCACATCTGCTGCATCTATTTGGCTGACTCCTGTACTTCCAGTGCTAACACAGCGCCTGGCACACTGCAAACACTCATAAATAGTTGCTGAGGGAATGAACAGACAGACCCCTAAAGGAGGCAGCAGGAGAAATTCCATTAGTTATCCAAGCAATATTTCCTGAGAGCTTACTATGTGCCAGGTGCTATGCCAGTCACTAGGAATACATCAGTTAGCAACGAGATTTAAAAAAAAAAAAAAAATCCCACTTTCATGGAATGTAAGGGGGAGGGATTAGTGTGGAAGGAAACAGACAATACACAAGGTAAGTAAATTATATCTATCTACAATACACAAGATAAGTAAATTATATCTATCTACATGGGTAGTGTAGAAATCAACATATTGCATTGGGCAAATCTGCTGCAAAAGACCTCTTCACAGTGTTAAAAAGTAAAGATGTCACCTTGAGGACTAAGGTGTGCCTGACCCAAGCCAGGGTGTTTTCAGTTACCTCATATGCATGCAAAAGCTGGACAATGAATAAGGAAGACCGAAGAATTGATGCCTTTGAATTATGGTGTTGGTTAAGAATACTGAATGTACTGGGCCCAAAGTCCAACAAATGGGGAAAAGACAATCTTTTTAACAAATGGTGCTGGCAAAACTGTATATCCATCTGCAAAAAAATGAAACAGGACCCATACCTCACACCGTATACAAAAACTATTTCAAAAT